ATTTCATACAAGGTGTATTTATATTTATTATTATATAATTTGTCATATAATTTCATAGAAGTATAAATTCTTACTTGGGTACCCAAGCACTCACTTTTTCTTAGGAGGGACAGGGTCGTTGTTGGCATTACTTACTGCATCACGTTTCAAAGAATAATAGCACCACCAAGCTGTGACCAGCTTTTAACGTATCGACTAATTAGGGATGCTCTTTATCTCTTAACATGTATTTTTGAAAAAAATCTAACGATTTTTAATACATGACATTAGCTATACTAAGGTTTTCACTTGGTGCAAGGAAACTTTAGATTTTTGCAATACAATTATTTCATCCCTCTAACAGTTCATTGTTAAATAAGTTATAATGAAAGAGCATTGCGTATTCTTACATGCAGCGTCACACATATCAATGACCGTACGAACTAAAAATTCTTTTTATTTGGTAGGTCACTGATTTTTGAGAGCTATTCTTTGAAACCGATTTATTTTTTAAAGATGTAAAGTAAGGAGTACAAGACGTGGCAACTTTTAAAATTCTAGGAGTGGATTTTGTAGAACTAATATACTCAATAACAAATGTTTGGATTTTCCTATTTACGTGTGCCATTTTTATAACCGTAAATATGGAATTAGTATTATTTCTATCCCCTACAATATTTTTTAAGATTTCCGATACCTGCTTGGAAAAGCATCGATTACTAACTATGAAAATGGTATCAATTTTATTATTTTTGCGGGATGGGATCAATAGGGTTATAGAAAATAAAGTCCAAAAGAAAGAGTCATTAGTATTCTAATTGACCTGCCATGCTGTGCTTGTGAGATAGCTAAGAGAATTTGAGTAAACTTTCGAAAAGATTAATAATTAATAAGAGTATATGCTGCTCGGTGCATGGATGTCCTTACCAGAAATTAAAAAAATTAATTTACTTGACCATAACAGATGATACGTGATAGCTAAGGCTATCATGTTACTACGTACCTATATTTTTGGGCAAGTCATTGGTAGCTACCGAGTCCTATGATAATTTGTTTATTTGGTATGTATATGAATTCTTAAAACAATATTTAATGTGTGTTCTCAGTGCTGCGGACTGCAGCCCAAAAAGAGAGAGAGAGAGGGATCAGAGGTAATGAGAGAAGTTGAATGTGTGTAAGGTATGGTTAAGTAAATGTATGTGTAAGAGGAACAAGGGAGATGAACAAGCTCGCGATACATCGGGAACAAAGTGAGGGTCAGGTTCATGGCATAAGTGAAAGGTGTTATTTATTTTAGGTAAAGAATTAGATGTAGGGCTTTTGTCTCTTGTAACTGCGTTTGGTGAGTTTTTTTAGTCTGTCAAGAAAGTTTATCTGTTATAACTGCTTACTAGCTATACAGTTACAAATAAACCTGTAAAAATCTGAAGTGAATAATTTACATAGTGGTTATAGCGTCTCCTGTTGAGTGTGACGTTGTCTTGCACGAAAAGTAGTTATGTTTGAACCTTATAGTAAACAAAATTAAGGTCAAAAAACAGTAAAAGCCCACGAGTTAAAGTGTATCTGAAAGGGTTTTTTCCTTAGCTTGTGCATTTTAATTAAAATAATAGTTTGTCAACGATAATTAACTAAATACCGTAATGAATAAGCACGTAGATAGTGGCGGTTCTTTTGACAATAAAAAAAGATCAGAATGTTCTTTTTCAGCAGACAAGGGCCAGTGTGGGCCCTGCATAGTGCATACAGACCGCTTCCTTTAAGAAAACGGGATGACAGTCAGCTTCTAGCATTGTAAAGACATGCTGCAGCGTCAACATAGGGTCTGCCTGCAAATATATACAAGACTAAAAGAGTGGCAACATTTTCCTTGACCATGTCCAGAATGAATTACTGAAAGCTTTCTTAAAAGTTACTTTAATCATTGACGAGCTACTCCAACCTAATTGATTCGACCCTTGTGGACCATGCTTTAGTCTTCTTGTTAATTAATTACATTAAGCGAAAACTTTTTAAATGGCATGCTGCTTTTAGGGTACGTCTGACTAGCTTTTTCTCGTCCTACAAAATAATCGTGCTTACCATTTAAAGAAAGTCCTGTCACTGGGATGCCTTTAACGACAATCCACATAATGCAAGTATTACGGTCAAAAAATAAAGAAAAAAAGTCTTGAAGACGATGAAAACTAGTCCATTATCACGAACAGCCAGTATTACGTAGAACCAGGTAAGATACTACATGTGAGCATCATGCAACGTGGAGTCTATAAGACAATAATGTTTAAAAAGATTTTAAAGCCAAATTTAAAGGTTTTACATCATCTCTTATATATATATACATATCTCACGGCAAATGTCTTGATATTTCCTACCAGTCACATTACCCAAAGACCTACACAAACTTACCTAACAATACCCTTCGTAATACGGCATAGAGCCGCTGTATACTCTTATCACGTGTTATAACGGCTTAAATCTCCTGATGCATTTTGAATTGTAGATAATAGTGTATAACTCATTTCACTTCAAACAATAACACAGTTTCAGTGGTCCTGAGTTACGCTATCTTGCTCGGAGAAATAAATAATTATTTTAACACTTTATTTTAGATCGAAATTTGATACAAAAAATTTAAAGCACACAATTACTTACGTCCAAGAACACTATGTCATAGTTTGGGCAGCGAGTAGGACATAGTGATGTTGTCTATCTGATATGAGAGAAGACCTATTTATAGCCATTGTCTTATGTCTATCTTATTCTCGCAATGGATGAGTCAAAACGGACCTGTTATAAAAATTTTTTTCTAATTTTATTTTAACCATGAGATGTTAACAACAGTTCTATTAATAAATAAAAATTAGCAAGGGTCTCTAATCTCATACTTATTACTTTACATTTTGTTTCTTAAACTTTTTTGTAATCACTTTTACATTAAATGGAAGCCAAAGGAAGAAGAATTGTTTCTTATTCATATGATTGTGAATTTTATTATTATAGATGTTAGATCTTCTGTAATTACTCTAATGATGCATAAGACAGATTATATGGTATAATAAAAGCATACTGATAAATTGTACAGCTACTTTTTTCTCCTTCAATTACTTATAATGCGTTAAAATCAAAGTCTTTTAAGAATCTAAGACATCTAAATCGTATTATAAAATTATAAACAGTAACTTACTTTTACTAAGAAAATATGTAAGGCTTCAAAATAATAGTACGTTATTAAAATAAAAAATCTTTATTTTTTGAGTAACTACTTAAATAAAAAATGTCTTAATCACATAAAAGTGCTCATTAAAACACTTGTTTTATTTATTCATGTGTGGAACTCTACGAACTTATCAACACGTTTAATATTGTCAGGTTTTTTTTAGTAATAAAATATATTAAGACTTTCTTTATTTGAAACCCTTTTCATAAAAGTATTCTTTTATTCTTATAGGCATACGGGAGAAATAACGTTTTACAGCAACATTGACAGTATGCCAGACATCCGACCTCGAAGAAAGTCAGTACCATTAGTTTCAGAATTGGTAAGTTTTTCGTGTTCTTTTACAATTTTAATAGAGTATAGGTTTATTTATGCCATCTATTATTTATTTTGTTATTAGTTATAACCTTTTCCTTATTTAATTTAGTGATGGGACATCCATCTTGTTAAGAACTAAAACGGTGAAACAATGAAGCTTTTACATGAAGGCCATCACATGAAATTTTGAAATGAAGTGCATTTTCAATTATCGTCTTTTAAGACGAAAGCTGATCAAATGTTACTCAGTAGTTAGTAGACAACGCTGTTAAGGGTTTTTTTTTGAGGCCATCAAATTTTTAAGATAGGACATGCAACATAAATTCGCGTGCAAAAATAAATTAGCTTTCTATTTACAGCTTAAATTAGAAAAAATCTGTGTTTTTCGAGTAAGAGTTTTTGATTATTATTTTAGTCTTAGAACTAAAATATCTATAGAGTTATGTTAAAGTAATAACCAGAATTTCGTTGTGTTCCAATGTTGTAGTACCTCTTTAAGTATTGTGTTACAATTATCCATGTAAGATAAACAATGAATTAACAAGACTTTTTCTCTAAATTCCTTATAAATTATCTATTCATAATTTGCAACAATATTTGTGGCAGAGAAAATTATAAGACAAATAATGCTAGGGATAAATATGATATTTTGAACAGATAAAATACTTTAACACAAAAGTAAATGAAAAGTCACACACTGGAGTAACGCTTGAAAAAAATTTGAAGACAAACTAAGCCAATGAAACTAGTTGATGCTATCTTACAACCGTGATAGGGGTAAGAAAAATAGTTAAGATATGAATACTTATGAGTTTAAGCAAAACGAGTTACCATGTATCTAAACTTGCAACTATAGTTAGTTTGAAAATTTTCTGATGAATAAAACATGACAAAAATCACTTTAATAAGTGAGGATTATCCTGATTTTTATTTAGTTATTTTTCTAGAATTTAGTTTTACACATTTTAAGATTGAAGTTGACAAATTATTATACAGTGGGAAATGTTGTTACGGGCTGTAGAATAGTTTTCTTATGAGATAAAAAGTATTTATAAAAAAAATTAATTAAATAGTTGTTTGGAAGATTACGTTATACAGATCTTTATTTTTAGCAGGAACAGGTGTCCTTTAATTAAGTAATATATAATTACAGAAGTTGATAAAGCATTATAGTCATTCTGTTAAAAGTGGCCGTTGGGTTTGGGCAACTTTAAGTGGGGAAGTGTGGCTGGAAGAGATCAGAGTCACTCTCGAGTAACTCGAACCGTCCTTTTAAGTCGAACAACGATAGTGGCACTCCTTCCGATGTTGTTCGCGTTGTGGCTCCGTTTGATTTATCGAAATCCAGCTCATTGGAGAGGTGCGGCAATTAAGCGGTAATTTGTAGAGATCTCGACGAGTTGGTCACCAGGTTGACTAGTGGGTGTCTAGTTTTTTTTTTTTATAATATTACAATATTACAAGACACCATCTCTCCTACCCTCGCTGGGGTGTCTTGGACTCGCCTCGGTGATCTTCTCTATGTCGAGAGGTCTCTAGATCTTGGAGAGGGGGTAATACCTGAACCACACTCCGGATGAGAGGCTTGAGAGCCTCCAACACCTCGGGGCTCGTAGCAGGAGAGGGTGTAGTAGGTGGAGGTGGTCGTAGGGGAACAAAGCTACTTGGTTTTGAAGGGGTGGTCCGTACCCTCTGAGTGAGATCATCTCTAGTGTGACCGATGGAAGGTTGGGTTATACCTTTGAAAAAATCTTCAGAGAATTGGATAGCCACGTCCTGAGTAGCCTTCCTTGGTTGGAATTCTATGGAGGTGACTACCGCCTATCCCTGGGTGATACAATCGTCTATCTGTTGGCCTGGGGCTAACTGTCTCCACTCCTGAGTTAAAGGGGGGAAGGTTATGAGCACCCAATTCCAAAGGTAGGACTTAAGAAAAGGCTTGAGGGAAAAGAAGGTATATACAAGGGTCTTATATTGGTACAGTGATGTTTATTGAATATGTACTTAATCAATTGAGTGGCTAGGAGTTATGCATTACACGTATTTGCATATCTCGGATTGATGATCAATGGTCGTCGCGCAGTTCTTCTTATATACTTTACGTTGCCTTCTTACTTGCGATGTTCACTAAAGACTAGTAGTTGCCACCTAGCGAGCGGTAGATGATACTATCAAGTGCCAAGTTTGAAGTTGGAGCTACGCGTGATATTTCAAAATTCAAATTGATGTAAAACGATCGAATTTAAAGAACAATGATTATTTTAATAATAAATAATTATGAAAACAATACCCCAGACGGTAACAATACATTTTTTTTTTTACTATTAGAATCACTTTAAAACATTGGTATCAATTGTTGTCTAGAAAGCGTAATTTGAGAATGACCTTTGTCTTTTGTGAATTAAATAGTTTTAGTGGAATAGATATTTAACAATTTTCTTGTTTATGATAAATATATAGTTTTAAGTATAATGTAGCTTAATTTTAAAAGCCCACGTTATGTCTTAGAATGTTGTTTAACAAAAGCGTCTAAGTCTAGTTACTATTAAAATATTGAGAATTTGATCATTTTAACCACTTGTGCTCAATATGAAAAAAAGACATGGATTTTCTCATCAAATTATAAAAAAATTGGTGCTAGAACATAAGAAAATACGTTAAGATTATAAAAATATTGCTTTCGGTACACAACGATTTAGTAAAATATTGAAGACGAACACCAGTTATGTAAAAAGAGTATTTTAACGTTGTGTATACCCTGTTGATGTTTAATAGACAAAATTATAGAAAGTCTTACTAGAGGGCTTAGCTCAAGCATGTGTCTCGTACGCACCGGTGTTACAGTTTCACTGCCATTTGCAAGTCAATGCGCAAGAGTCCCTAAGCTTAATTTACTGAGCATCATGTTAGAATTATTAGCTAGAACGTGAGTCACAACTTTTTATGTTTGAAATGGTTTATTGAAATCGTTCAAATCTTGCAAGACGTACGATAAAAAAAATAAAATACATTTGAACGACTCACTCTTCACTAAAAAAAGTAATATATCAACCGTTTTGTCATTATCAGATGACTCAAAAACCTCTAACATTAAAAATTGCCATAAGGGCTCCCAATTTTCTAAAATTCGTTTTCTACACTCAAATATTTCAAGTCATTTAGTTCCGTATAATTTCAGTATCTGATTCATCTTGACACCAGCATCTCCCTAAAATTCTTTAAAAATTGTGCTATGTTTAGGGCTTTTTGACAAATAACTTGCTATTCTTCGTACGAAAATTCTACTTCTGATGGAATTTGTGTAAAACTGTGCTTCGCGACAAGAGCGAATAAATGGCAAATGCAATCCATTAGAATAAAATTAGGGCAAACTTTTTTTAAATTACTTGCAAAAGAACTGAAACGTCCTATCATTGCATTAGCACTGTTACAAGCTAAACCGACAACATTACTCCACGGTTTTTTAAATTGTTCAAATTTAATTTTAAACGGCTTGAAGATTTTTTCAAGCAGAAGCCAAAGTCACGTCGAATTTGACGAAAGTTGAATGATGACTCACAATTTTATTACTTTCATAATTTAAATATTGTACAGAAACACACAAAACTTTTGTATTACAACGATCTGTACTTTCATCAATTGATAGAGAAAAAGAAACTTTTTTTAACTTTTCGACGACTTTCATTTCAATTTCACGAGCCAAAACATTTACGATAACCCCCGAGCATTTTGTACTTCTGAAAGTCATTGATTTCGTCATCTCTGGATTTGAAGATAATTTTTTAACCAAAGAGAGCAAGTCATTGACAAGAACAATGCTGATACTATGTTGAGCAAAAAAAAGACCTAACGTCAACTCCGATTTTTGGCAAAGTTATTTGTTGGACAGCGATGTCACCGTGATGGGGACAAACGTCAACATTGTTTTGATATGATATTGTGCATTGTGGTAATTATTAAAATCATATTTATTGCTTGCATTAACTAATATTTAACAAGATAAGCACTTACGCTAACTTACACTAACGCTCCCGCACCCATCTAGTTCGATTATGCGTATTTATCGACATCATAAAAACAAAATCTCACCTTAATACTGCCAAACGAAGAAATAATATATCCAGAGGTCCTCGCAAGCTAACAGCCGTTAATGGAATGAGCGAGAAAGGTGGTTAATGCATGAAGTGCATTGTTCTGTATTGATAAGCAATCGAGAAAATCAGCCTAGTACTACCATACATGTAGTAATATACAAGCTACTGATTTTCTGCTTGACAGCAGCAGGACGTAAACAAGACCAGTAGCTCGCAGCTTTGGCGACTCCAACACAAATTATATACACGCTTCAATTTTGGTGCTTCACTGTGATATTCATTTTATGTGAAATAATAAATTTAAACTGGAATTTTTAGAGAAGAATACTAGAAGTAATTCTTTTGGATATTTTTAGCAAGCAGTGGTTGCATCAAGTTATAGATTGTTTAGTACATTATACAATTATTTTTACACATGTTTTTTAAATCAATGTTTCATGTTTTTTTTTTTTTTCTTCTTTTTTTTCATACTGAAACATACAGTTAAATAACAAATGCATGTATGATTTGGTCACCTTCGGTATCAGGATTCTGAGCACGAGAAAAAACGGGAGAGAAAGAGAGAGCGTGAACTCACAAGAACGGTCATATGTGATGAGACTTGGATTTGTAGTACGAATTAAGTACTAATTAGAAATTATTAGACGTGATGACCTGCTTTTGTAGAAAAAACTGTAAATTTTTCAATCTTTAATTATTGAGTAATTTCTCAATCAACAAATCAACTCTACTCTTTTTGTTTACAAAGTAATATCCTCAAAAAAGATCAAGGAAGTATAGCAACTCATAAAATTCTTTAGCTTCTAAGCAATACTTTTAATTATTTTTGGCAGAAAATCATCATACACAAAAATAAAAGGGGATTTTCAAAAAATTTATTTCCACCGTTACAGGAATTTAAAAAAAATCA